TTCTCTTGCTTTATTTAATTCCTAATATTTAGGTGGTCCTAAATCCTACACATGGGATTTTTCAATTTTTATTTTTATTTTTTTGGATCAAAATTAGTAGGCTAGTTCTTTTCTGGTGATGACGGTTGTGCTCGTCTTGGATCTAATTATGTCTTATTAAATTGTTTAAAGATCAGTCGATGTCAGCGAGGAATAATTGAAAAGAAAAAAGGAAAAAAGAAAAATTTAATTTCAAATTCTCATCATGCTATATTTGTTGTCATTTGAACCAAATATAGATAACTATCGATTAGAAGTCAGTCTAATTAATGTTATGAGTTCGAATCATTAAGAGAACAAAAAGATGAGAGTTCCGAGGGGAGGAATCAGTCTTCCATAGACCAAAGCAGCATGTGAGTCACAAGATTAAAGACCCTTTCAAACATAACGAAATTGATGTAATTCAAACCCCTAAAGTAGCCATATATGCTAAAAGGTAATTAGTTGGATGTTATTCGTTGTAAAATTATATTATATTAATAAATTATAATTGGTGGAATTTCAAACTTGATTTTGCTAGCAACTCTTGTCGAGCACTAACAAAAAAGATAAATTAATTTTATAGGTTATTTACATTATTATTATTTTTTTAAAAAAAATTATAATATTTTTACAAAAGATGTTTGTTTTTTTACATATAAGAACTAAGACGTCCTCATTTTCATATATATAAAAAATCTGACAAAGTCATTTTTATCTATTCAATTTATAAATGTCCGAAAGATCTCCTTTTCTCTTAATAATATCATATTGTCGATCAACTCCAAGAGAATATTGTGGTTTCTAAATTTCTAATTTGAAATGACTTGACCTATATTGATCTAATTAACACTTTAAATTTGTTCGCAATATGCATGGCCATATCTTTTTAAAATAAATATCACTTACTCTTTTGGTTTAAAAAATAATAAAGTATTCACTCAGACACTTTCGATTTAAATTTTGAAAAACAAAATTGTGTGTGCTTTCATTAGTCTATCAGACAATTAAATTAACCACATAAAGTAGGAGAAATTATTTTTTTAGTCTTTCTAATATATTAATTTAGTTCCTCCTTTGGTAAACAATATAATAATAAAAACATCAACAATAACATATCCAATGAAATCTCATAAGTGAAGTTTGAAAAGACTAGAATAAACGCAATCTTACCACTACCTCGTAAATATAGAAAATTGGTTTCTGAAAGATTATTTTCGAAAGGTTATTTCCGAAAGACACAAAAAAGAGGAGGAATAAATCAAAGATGTGATGTCACCATCGGTTAGGAAGGATTAGACCACGCTTTGAGCAAATGGATCTTTAGTTGGGCCTAAGTAGGGTGGGCCCAATTACGCTTTTGGGGGCCCACTGAAAATTGACTGAACCTTCAATTTCAAGTTTTGTCTTCCACGTGTCGGTGTACTGTGCCCCACGTTTTAAGGCGGCCCAGTTGTATATTCACGCGCTTCACTCGCCTACCTATGCGGCTGGGCTTCAAATATTAATCACTCCTTTCAATTACATTAACTTTTTTGGACCCATTTGGACATGAGTTTTTTATTTTAAAAAATAAAGTATTACTCCATTTAATTATACTTCAATTTTAATTAAAAGTGAAATAAAAGTTCTCAGCATAAAGTTATTTATTTTGTCCATTTCAACTACAAATATTATTTCGTCCGTATCAATTTATTTATTTGACTTTAAATTGATATTTTCGTTGTCTATCTTTACTTATCTATTATATTATGTCCAACAACACTTGTTCAATTTATAAAATCAATTAATAATTTATCATTTTTGCCTATTTCACCCTTGATACTCCGTCTATCCAATAATAGTTGTCCACTATTGACTTAATACACCCCTTAAGAAACAATAAATAATAGACGTAATATTACTCCTATATTATCCTTTGACTTTATTAAATTTGACTTTATAAATAAATAATCTCTTGATTTTTTAAATTAGACAAATATTGTTGGACAACTATTTTTAGTATAGTGGACAACTATTGTTGGACGGGGGAGTATTAAAAATTGTTCATTTTTTAATATTTATATGACTTATATTCAATAAGGATAATTTGGTAAAATTACTCATATCATTTACTGCTTCTTAATCCACGTGTCAAGTCAATATTGGACAACTATTGTTCGACCGAAGGGGTATGATTTTTTTTTTAATCTCGTACTTTTAAAACTAAAGATATGTAAAATGTAACAAAATATCTTTTAATCTTGTCGTATTAAACATGCCATGTTAAAAGTTAGAATTAAAGAGTTGTTTAAAAAGAAACACTTTTTTAAAAAAATAAAAAAAGATAAGACAAACAAATTAAAATAAAGAAAGTATTTTTTTTCAAGTATTACTCAAATCATAATCTACTTAATAATTGTTAATATATTTTATTTCTACATCTGTATTCTTATGAATGAATTTCTTTTAAATAGAAATGTTAAATATATCAAAATATTTATGTGATTATAGAAAACTTGATAGTAAAATATAGAATTTACAAATTACATAATTTTAAATATGAAATGATTTGTTTTTAGGACAAATTAACAAGAAGAGTATCACATAAATTAGGGATAAGACACAAGTACCCCCTTAAATTATGACCGAAATTCTAGAGACACATCTTTAACTAAACTAAGGTCTTATTATTTCACTGAACTCATTTTTTGTTTGTAATTTTTTACACCTGTTTGTGATTAATTAAATGATAAGTAATTATCCATGAAATTAATCTTATAGTAACAAAAAGAACTTATGTATGAACTGGTGTAGTTTCCTATTGAGCTGTCAACATCCTCAAACCCAATCAGACACATTTTGCTTAAAATATTCATAACAGATCTAGTTTGACTTCAGTGGACAGGGAATAGTTTTTTTTTATTATTATTATTAGTTATAAATTTCGAGTGTGAAATATTAAAATGCAATCACAAAATAAATATAAAAAATATATATAATATTAATAAATTATATGGGTATAATTTTAGGTATCTTTTAATACATGTATTTGATGTATTCTTCATGATTTTGAATGATTGAGAGAGATACGTAACTCCCTAACCATCGTAGAGAATACACAATTCAATTACGTATGAATTTTCTTGCTTGGTTTTGATTGATTCATATGAGTTATCAATCATATTCATAAGATAAATATGATTATCCACTCTCGATAAGAAAATCTCAAAATTCGAGCCTTAAGAGTTAAAAAAAATCACGTTGGGGAGTGTTTTTTCTGTAACGTGAATACGAATTAGTTGAAGTTCCAAAGGTTCAAGTACGAATGAAACATTGCACTTGGTTTGAAAGTTTCGTTTTCAGTATGTGTTCCTTTCACTAACTAACAAAGAAGAAATTACTTTCAAGAAATATTTCATACAATTAGAAAGGAGGAAAAAACTATACAATAATTTTGTATTTACGCATTAAGTTCATGTATGAACACCTAACATCAAGATTAACAATAGTTTTAAAGTAAATAAAGGTTTTAAGCATGCAGTCGTTCAAGTTTTAAAACATAATGGAGTAATTACTATGCTTAATTTGTTGAAAGTCATGTAGTTCATGACTTATAGTATTTTAATTAGAGGTAATAGGGAAAACATTCCATCATAAAATCCTGAGTAAACAGGGGGTCATTTGGTAGAGTGTATTAGGAGAAATAGTCCATATATCGTTAACTTTGATTTTGTCCCTTATTTTGGTCAACTTCGTCCTTTTCACGTCATTTAGATTCCGGACTCTTCTATTATTGATGGCCTGCCCTGGGATCTGAAGCCTGGAATTCAAGGGAAGGATCATTGTTGTTATTAGAAGAAACATGCCAACACCTGGGGTTATGGGGGATGGATGGATCATTATCCTTAACCAGAAGTCTAGAGTTTGAACAATAGAAATGAAATAATTTCTGACCCTTTTAATGAGCCTTACGAGATTCTAGCAATCTCACTGCACATATGGTTCTTGACAATGCATCCCACCCCCCCTCCACCCCCCTCAAAATTGGGGATAGGGGAAGGGGAAATGGGGGAGGGGGGAGTCAACCAACTGAGCTACTAACATTCCCCGTTTTTGACAATGCATAATCCAATGCAAGGTTCTTGTAGAGCCTATTTGGAGTTGTTGAATGGACAGACTCTCAAGTAATTTGTTGTCAACATGCTTCCTTTTATCTTTATAACTGAGAAACACACTGTTTTATCTTCAAAACTCAGGGATAACAGGTGGTACCTCTACCCTCGTCCCTCGCTACCTAAACGCCACCAGGTTCAAACTCGTGAAAGTACACTCACTACGATCTCATTCTGTACTACCTATGCCATTGAACCAAAAGCCTCAAGATCTCGTCAATGATCATCTTATAAGGGGAATGGCAGTAATGTTCCTATACAAGAAAGTTTCTTTGGGCAGAAAAGGAGCAATCTTATGGGTTAGCACTTCTCTGTGTGACATAAAAAAGTTATTTACAGGGTGAGATCAGTTAAAAACTAAGTATACCAAGTAGAAGTTTGTCAACAGGATTGAACCTGAAAGGTGTATAGCAGTTATGTCCATCAGTCCATGTATGAGTTCTAAGACTTTATATGCTAGTGATTTCTTTAGGCAAAAGATCGAGGATCTTTGTGCTACTATTATCCTCTCGTGAGTTTTATCCACTGATCAATTAAAAAATATTAACACAATTGGATCACATAAAGGCCAATAATAGGTAAATGTTAACATTGTGCATTAGTTGGTGCAAAAGGGGATCATACCCTATTGGAGCAAGGCATATTACACTCATTGTGCAAATATTTTACACTGTCAATAAATAAAATTTAAACTCTATTTAGTGGCACACACAGTCCAACTAACCTTTTATTCATTTATCACAAATTCACAATAGCCCTGTTTAAGCAAAAGCTGCATTTGCTTGCTTTCTAAGGTGATTGTCGCGACACAAAGGAGAGAGTTATAGATAGATGGATGCAATATCCACTAAATTATGGCCTAAATGTAACAAAAACAGGAAAGACTGAAACGTCATGACCTTGGAGAAAGCAGAATCTCCAAGAAAATTCCAAGTGGAGAAACTCAAAAGACAAACTTATGGTTAATGAAAGATAAAAGTGCTAGCACAGCAGTCTAAATGCTCTGAGCTTCCTTGAATATGCTCAAGCAGAATTCTTAAGAATCTCTTCAGAAGGAATCTCAAGCGTTGCTCCAGCATGTTCTTTCTCAGGCTTCACCACTGCAGCAAATAACATTCCAATATTTTGTCAAAGAAGCAGCAGAAGTGAATCAATGCAAGGAAAGAGCATCAGGAAACTTAGCAGATACAGAACAGGAGAAAATTATCAAAATGGTCCTTTAATGTACGGGGGTTGGACTGTTTTGGTCCTTCATATTTACACCACTTAAAGGAAATGGTTCTTAATGTTTGTAAAAAGTGGACATCTTTGATCTCATGTCCTAAAACTAATGGTACAAAACTAAAACAATGTTTAAACTTAATGGTGCAATTCAATTTGATAGTAGTACTTCTAGCTTTGCTGTGAGTTCCACAAAGTCCACTTCTTCTTCTTTCTTTACTTACGTACTGCCAGTGCTTCCTTCACTTTCTGATTTCCCTTGTATTCTTCTTCCTTTAGACTCCCCACACATTAATTAAAGCACAACACTTTTGCTTTATGGGTTCCACATTAAAAAAATTTAGCATTGAACCCATTATATTCTTAAAGTTATGGGTTCATACCCAATCATTTATTGCAATTTTCGTGATTTTTTACATATAAATTATACTCCACGTCAAAAGTACCGGGTCATAACCCGGTACCTTTGAACTGCTCAACATGGGAGCAGAAAATTGGGAATGAGGAACCTGCAGTTCCAAAGGACACAAAAAGGATGAGGATGATTATCCAAAATCAGGTGGGAATTATGATAAACTTTCGTTCAGCTTTTTTCAATCTTCTTCAAATAACAAAATTGGGCACTGAAACAATCCAACACAGTATTTTGGCAAAATTTATATGCAACCAGTGATTTTGCAGACATGGGAATTGAACTTTGTCCAAGAAAAATGTCGTATCTGAGCCTCAATTTTTGAGACTGGAACTTGGAAATTCTTGTGCTTTGAAATCCATTTAATTTAACAGATATGTAAGGAGGAATCATAGTTTAAGGGTATGAGACCCAAACTATACACTTTTTATATACATTAAGAACTATTTCTGTTGAGGGGTACATATAAAGGACCAAAATAGTCTAATCCCTTTACCTTGATCATTCTCTCTACAGAACATACTTTCAATAAGTGTAACTGATAACTTTGCAAATTAAGGAAATTTGGATGGTAAACAGAAAGAAAGTAAGAAACCAAGATACAATGAATCACTACTCTTCATAAGTTATTTGACATGACAGGATTCCTAATGGATTTAGGCAACACTCACAAGACACAATGCTTGAGTTTTTTACATTGTTTTTTGACCGGTGAAAAGATGTTGCAGAGGGTAATCAACAATGATTGAGTTTTACATTTATGAGATCGAATAGTTCCCAAGGCTCTTTAGAATAAGAGCCTCCAAACTTATGGTATTTCGACTTAACCACAAGTTGACAAAAGTAATATTTGAAAGTTTGTAACTTGCCAATTTTTTTATTTTTTTTAAGAAAAGGAAAGTTTGTAACTTGCCAATTATAGATCACCAATCAGACAATTCCAAAGAGATGTGTCTCAGTGAAAAGTACACAACACACTTCTGAATGGTCATGTATTTACTAGTGGAGACTGGAGATGTCTTACTGAAATTTCCTTTTGATGGGTTATGGAGGCAAGATCTTAAACAAAATTAGCATACTCTAAATATAAAGTGTTTTGGCACCAAATAACTGGTGCCCACGCGCTGCTAAAGATTTAAAAGCATTAGAGAGTGCCTAGGCACTAAAACTTTAGAGAGTGTGAATAGGCATTATCTACTAGTGGTGTAGTCCCAACTTAATGTTTAGGCACTATCGACTAGACACTGTTACAAATATCAGAGACTGCACTTAGGCTGATCCAGCCACAGTTTTATGTTATGGAACTAAGTCTAGTTTTAAAAATTTCACTAAATGTTACTATGGCAGTTATCTAGGTAATTGAAGTCAGAAGTCCCCAATATAGTTAGTATTTGGTCTAAGCTAAAAAACCACAAAAAAATGAAACAAAAAGATAGCACCATTCAAAGTAAGATGATGAATGCAATAGCTATTGTTTGAACTTGTTCTTTACAATTGTGCAGTTTAGAGGTTTGGGAAAGTCGTAAGCTATCGTACCAACCTAGGAACATATTGACCTGAGCTCTAACAAATAACACAACCACATTCAGTATTACATAAAGTCATTGAACTAAGCTCTAGTATGTAATTTTAATCTTGTTAAAAATGTCATCATGAAACATGCGTTTGCCTAGGTCGAGCTCGTCGCACCAGGCTTGCTTTGTGCGGGTTACCTCTTCTATGTGGTTTGCGAGCTATTGCATAGGAGCGGGGTTTTACCCGGTGCGCAGCCAAAGGTAGCGGCTGCGGTTTCAGTTTCACATCAATCTAAATCATATGCTTTCAATGAAGGGAAAAATATGTCTTTGAAGCAATAAAACAAACACCTGGTGTGCGCCAGAGCATAATATAAAAAAAACCGCAAATGACATTGATAAACACAATAATATGGAGATTTGGGGGTTTATACCGAAAGCACCGGAAGGTGTAGCTTTGGCTTGGATAATCATAGTAGATATGAACGAAGAGGCCTCAGTTGCATCCTCCAATAGCCTCTGAATATCAGCCTCCGATGAGACGTGGCGATTCTCCTCGAATTTCTTTCTGACCTCGGCGGCGGATTGTTGGAGCATGAAAGTATCTCCGGCGAAGGCTTTGTGAGTGGCCTTCAACACTGATCTGTAAGCTCGAAGGGCTTCTACTGCTCTCCCGCTCGCCATCTTCTACTGATCAAAATGGTCTTTGGGTTGGACTATTTTGATCTTTTATATATACCATAATACCATCTAAATTTTTTTTATTAATACTTCATTTAGATCACATAATTGATATAATTAGTAATGTATGAAATAATAATCATTTTAATCCATAACTCCTAATAGATTACCTTAAAAACATAAACTCCTAATTTAAATGTTAAATTTATATCCCTAACTTAGGTTGCGACTCTTTTGATGAGTTGTGACTTTTTTCAAAGGGTTGTGAGTTTTCGATGAGTTGTGACTTTTCCAAGGAGTTGTGACTTTTCAAAGGAGTTGTGACTTTTCCAAAGGATTGTGACTTCTCGGAGAGATCATGACTTGATTTTTCTGAAGAGTAGTGACTTTTCCAAAGAGCTGTAACTTTTTCAATAAGTTGTGACTTTTTCAAAGGGTTGTGACTCATCGGAAAGGTCATGACTTTTAAGATAAGACACAAATTTTTTTTGTTCATACTACCCTTTGTTGACTATAAATAGAGGGGTTTCCTTTCATTTTTTCAACAACAATTTTTTTAATCTTCTACTCTTCTTCTTCTTCTTGCATTTTAAAATATTCTTGTGATTTATTGTCGTTGAGTGAGTCCAAAGTTTAGCGGAATATGAGGTACTACTATTCTGATGAAGTAAATTGTTCTATCCTAAGAGGGTATATTCTTAACCTCGAGTACTTGAGGAAAATAATTCTGATGATATAATAATATTTCTTTGTTTAGTATATACATTAGTATGTAATGTTCCAACATATGAAGTTAACATGATGTAGTCTAAATTCATTTGTTTTTGTTAACAATTTCTCTTGTGATGTAGATATATGCTTCTAAATATCTTTTTCCAAAATTATTAAACTTCTCAAGAGTTAGAGAATTGTCACGATTAATTTTTTCGATGCTCAAGACAAAGAATTACTTTATTTATCAATACTACTTATGTGATTTAGATTGTTAGGAAGTTTGCTTCAAAATAGTTATTACTATATAAGCATTGCCCTTTTGTTTTACTGATTTAATATTTTTTAATATTTAAGTATTTTTCGACGAAGAAAAGTTTATATGACTTGTAATAACGTTAGTTGAGGTTTGTATTAATTCAATACTTATTGTAGTATAAATTCATTTGTTTTTGTTAACAATTTCTCTTGTGATGTAGATATATGTTTATGAATATTTTTTTCCAAAATTATTAAACTTCTCAAGAGTTAGAGAATTGTCATGGTTTGTTTTTTTGATGATCAATATAAAGAATGACTTTATTTATCAATGTTACTTATGTAATTTATATTGTCAGGAAATTTGCAAGAATCTTCAATATTATTTTGTGCAAACCTTATTATTGAAATCATCGCTTAAATTTTATGAATTGATAATTCGAAAAACTAGTTACCTTAAAAACATGAACTCCTAACTTGAATGTTAAATTACTATAATATTCCTAACTTAGGTTGTGACTTTTTCAATAAGTTGTAACTTTTCCAAAGAATTGTGACTTTTCCAAATAGTTGTGACTTTTTCAATAAGTTGTGACTTTTCCAAAGTGTTGTGACTTCTCGAAAATGTCATGATTTTTTAGATAAAACACAAAAAAATTTGTTCCTACTACCCTTTGTTGACTATAAATAGAGGGACTTCCTCTCATTTTTCAACCATAATTTTTTCTAATCTTCTACTCTTCTTCTTCTTGCATTTTAATTTTTTTTGTGTAATTTATTGTCGTTGAGTGAGTTCGAAGTTTAGCAGAATATAAGGTACCACTATTCCGATGAAGTAAGTCGTTCTATCCTAAGAGGGTATATTCCATAACCTCGAGTACTTGAGGAAAATAATATAATTTTGATGATATAATAATTATTTTTTTGCTTAATATATACATTAGTATGTAATGTTCCAATATATGAAGTTAACATGATGTAGTCTAAATTTATTTGTTTTTGTTGACAATTTCTCTTGTGATGAAGATATATGCCTTTGAATATCTTTTTCCAAATTTAGAGAATTGTCGCGATTTGTTTTTGATGCTCAAGACAAAAGAATGATTTTATTTATCAATGCTATTTATCTGATTTAGACTCTCAGGAAGTTTGCTTCAAAATAGTTATTACTATATAAACATTGCCCTTTTATTTTACTTATTTTCTATTACTTAATATTTAAGTATTTTAAACGAAGAAAAGTTCATATAACTTGGAATAACGCAATTGAAGTCTGTATTAGTTTAATTTTTATTATTTATTTAATAGCTAATTTTATGAGATAAATATTTTCATTAATGCAAATATTTATTTATATTTGAGTAGGTATTTGTATTTAAATTAAATTATTATATATTTCACAAATGTATTATCAAGTTAATGAGATCTTCTAATTTCAAAATGTATTATTTTAAAATGTTTTTCCGCGTTCTTTTTAATTTAAAAAAAAAACTCACAACAAATGTGAAAATATGTGAATATATAAAATGTAGTTATTCTCTTCACGTGTTCATATGACATCTAAAGAATTTAACGTAGAACACATGCAAAACACATCTGGTTAAATGACAATAAAAATATAAAATAAATATTATCTATAGGGTAATATTAGTGAGATAAGATTAATTACATGATTGAACCTCACAAATTGAAATAAATATATACATAATTGCATTTAACTAATAAATTTTTTCATTGACCATCTTCATAGGTTTGCGTGAATAAGAGTTATACATGACGATCCACATTGACCATTCACAAAAGAATCTGCAATATTATTTTTTGCTAAGCTTATTATTCAAATCTTCGCTTAAATAAGCGATACTATTTACTATAACATATATTTTTGAAATTGGTAATCATGTGCAACGCACGTGTCAGAAAACTGGTTTAAAATAAAGATGCAAATACAAAAAGGGAAAAATTACCTGAATACACAACTTATTTTATCATATTCTCCAAAATTTCCTACAATTTGAAAAAATTACAACAAATTATACTCTCTCCTATTCTCGGATACATTACTTTATACGATGAATCAATCGGACACATCACTTTACGCGATGTATCGAATTCTCGAATACATCATTTTACGCGATATATAGGTTGGATACATTACTTTAGCGTGATGTATAGATCGAATACATTATTTTAATTAACAACTCACATGAATTGTATGAGAACATAAAAGAATGAGAGTGAAATTTTCCGACCATAACTAAATTTATTTAATATGATGAGAAGAAAGGTTAATTGTTGCTATTTTTAATGAATTTTTTTTATCAATAATTGACATATAATTTACCTTTATAGGTTTTAAAGATAAAATATATTATATATAAAAAAATAATCGTAATATCTCAAAAGAACGAATATTATGACAAAGATAGAGATGATTTCCAAGTCACCAACCTAAGCAAGGAGAGATCGGTGAGGTGATTAGAGACCATATAGCAGATGAATAGCGGAATTTATAAAATCTTGTGTATGCACAACAATTCAGAGTAGTCTACTTACCATCCTATATGGACTGAAGTTATTAAAAAAAAAGAACCTCAGCCACGAAGAATAAATATCGAATCAAGTGATGTCATCTTCATGATTTAAACTAATCATCTACCTTATAATAACATCGTCTTTGAATGTAGATGCTTAATGCAGAAGTTGGAGACTTCAACTCTCAATCATGTATTAAGAAACAAAATAGAGTAACAGATGAAGATAGCGCTCGGGGAAATTTTGTGAATGATCATTTATTTTTGGGAAAAGGGTTTGATTTACTCCTGAACTTTATGATTTGGAGTTGATATACCCTCCGTTTAAAAAATGGCCTATACATGCCCCTGTCGTTATAGAAACTGCTCATATATGTCCTTTTACTTAACAGACCAATATTTAATAAATTAAAATTTTATTTTTTTATGCTTTAATTTGAGAAAATGCCACGTGGCTCTTAAAATATCCCACCCAATAACTTTTCACCAACCCGACCCAATTGGAAACAAGAAAACCCCACCACCCACTTAAATAAACCTAACCCATTCCATTTTATTGTCTCCACACTCAACACGAAAAAAATCAAAAACTTATTAGGGTTTCAGTGAGCTCTAAACTGGCGTCAATCAGTCTCAATATCGTTCAAAATCGTAGGTAAGTTTCAATTACTTTCTTCCCTTTTCTTTTAAGGAGCTTTGGTGTTAGAATTATAGGGTAAAATTTGATAAAAGTGTAATTGAGTTTACCGATGTGCTTTTCCCTTGACATTCTGTCAATGGAAGGTCTATTTTCTTACTTTAATACATGAGTTTATCTCTTTGTATGCAAAGATGGAATCTTTGTTGGTCCCTAAATAGGTATTGTCCCTTTTGGATTTTAAAATTCATTTTTCAATTGGTGGTTGGTGTTAAATGTTAAGGTGGTCCCCTATGTCTAAGTTATTTGCTTGCTGCAGGTGTCATTTTGAAGGATGATTGAAGAAGTGGATATTATTTTCAACTATGGGGGCAGTTGGGTAATTTCTCTAAAGCTGGGATACAATATAAAATTTCAGCACACCTGGTATTATAATACTTGTTTAGTTTGTCATGATAATTTGTGTGAAGGTTTTACTTTCAAATTTGGATTTAGGAAAGTTCAACAATTGTTGGTCACTGGTCCATTTGGTACTTATTATGTAATTGAAGATAATGATGGAATTAAGACTCTTCAGTACTTATTTTCAAAAGATTTCAAGGTAATAAATTTTTATGTCGTAGATGCTCATGAATTGAGAGTTTTTTGCCGCAAATATCATAGATCATACTGAATCATATTCTGTGAATGTTGAAGCTGCAACTGATTGTGATTATAGTGATGTGGAGGATGATGCTCTTTATGAAATGGGCAATAACTGTGAAATTGTTGAATATCATGTTGAAGTGCTTCAACTTTATGAACATGAAAAAGAGAGAGTTGTGAGTGATGGACTTGAAAAGTTTAAGGAATTAGAATGGGTATGACCTTTAAGACTATTCAAGAAGCTAGGCAGGTTGTTAGCTTTTATGCTATGGCTAACAAAAAGAAGTTGAAAA